GCACCACCTCTCCCTCGCCTCTATAACTCTCCTTTATTTTTTTGTAATCGATATATGATTTTGTTTAGTTTTGTACCGGGCGGAGGTCGTTGCTGTCTGCTGTGAGTATGCAAAATATATCCTCGGCAAGTTGCCAGGACAACGGAAAAGAGGAGCTAGGAGCTGGGAACGGAGCGGCTGTGAAGCGTCGATGCCACATGACATACCTAAAAGGATTTGGACTTAAGCAGCTTACCATGTAAACAGCGTGCACACACAAACACAGAGGGGCAGGCGGCACACAATGCGAATTATGATGCATACTTTTATGTAGATTATGAGACTGGGACACACACACACTACACACTGAAAGAAAGCAAAGGAAGCGCAGGGATATGCTGTCGATAGATCAATATTTAAGCCAGAATGCGTATACAGTGATTATAGCAACATATTTGACCCAAAAATATAAATAAATAAACCATTCATTGAAAGGGAATATATAATATAAAGGCAGGCAAAAAGATTCATTGATTGATTGCTAGCAACACAATGTGTTTTTGTTCTCTTTACTAAATACGATGACTCTCTGGAAATACAAAGCGCATTCCTTTAGGTATGCTTCCTGACACCTAACCTGACCCCTTTGGTTTTGCCTCACTGTACATGGAATCTTCACTCATGGCCAAGGGCAGGTGTCCTGCTTCGAGTCTTGGCTGCAGCTGACGTCCCCCCCCAAAAAAAAAAAAAACTGATGATCCCGGCATCCTGATTGTTTGTCCCTGACCCCCATTTACATTTGCATAGCATCTCAAGACCCAAGACCATGGCATCTTCTAGTCCGGGAATGGGCGCGCTTGCGTCGGAGCAGAAAACCGAGTCCATCTGTCCCGCATCCTGCCACGCAGCACACTCCACACTCCCCTCTCCACCCTTGGTGGCTCGTACCCGGGAGCTACTCCATCTGGGCCAACTTCCTGCCTCTGCCTGTGCCTTGCCCAGCCTGCATGCAAATGAGCCTCATATATCTGCCGTTCTAGCTTGTTTTTTTTTTACTCGCTGCCTTGCCTTGCCTTTATAGTTTTGATACTTTTTTCTTTCTATTTTTAGCTCGTCTTGGTTGTCGTTGTATCTTGTCCCGTCTCGGATTGTCCTTGTTATGTAAAACCTTAGACTTTTCATAGCTTTTTGCTATAGCTACGTCCGCTCTCCTGGTCCTGGATATGATTGTGGGTCCTGTGTGCCAGCTGCCTGTCAGTTGTTAACTCAACTGCTTTGCATCAAAATATCAATGCATACTTTTTGGGGTCATAGGCATAAATTACAGTTTGCTTGGGAGAAGGATGGGGCGCAGGAGAAGGTCCTTGACTAAAGAAAAGTGGCCAAGTCGAAGAGTGCAGCTGCTATGGCTGATAGGCGCTTAGCCCAGACAATCGCTTCGCTTCGGTTCGGTTGGGGCAGCCTTGTTTTACGGCCATGCCATGTGAAACGGAACGGAATGAAGATTGAAGAAAGGACTCAAGAAATGAACCGAGTGTCCTTTTGATGGGAGCTCACTGGACCAAGCTAGAAATCTGTACTGTACTATAATTTACAGCAAGAGACGTCCTGGTAACCATATGAAGCCAAGACTTATTGGATTTAATGGGTTTTTACGAATTGAAAGCTTAAAGATTGCATGGTTTATAGAGTAAAGGGATGATACAACTCAATCATCAAGAGTTTTTTGTAATTAGTTAGCTTTTAAAACATAAAACCTGCTAAAAATCAAGCTTTTAATATACATAGTTGAGAATTTTCAGCCAAAACTCCTTGAAAACTTGAAATAAAGTTTTATTTGGAAGGCAAAAGTATGTTTATCCTTATAGTTTGCTTTTATTTAAGTGAAAAATGCATAACTCTTATGAATTCTCTACTGATCTGTTGGTCATAATTATAATACCCTGGGAAGTTTATATAAACAGAAGTTATACTACTTAATGATCATCGAATATACATACATCTTCCCTAAAGTACAACTTCTTTCCTGCCTGAAAATTCTTTCACTAAACTTACAATACCCTTTATATATCTCATCTTAAATACTTAAAACTGAAAATTCCATGAATTACCATCAATCAGCTGTGCAGAAATTGTTAAATAATTACTACTTATGTTCATCAGTAACTTTTGCAAACATGCGTGATACATTTCAATTTTTCTGAAATCAAATTAAATGCATTCTTTTCTCGGGTACAGTAGTTTTTTTTTCGAATGTTAAATCCTTGCATTATCGACATGACACCAGATTAACCAGGATTATATGTGGCTATATTTGCACAAATTACCTGGCACATTCCCGCAACATGAATGTCCATTCATTTGTCAATTTGCCTATCGTGTTTTCCAGGCCAGCATAAGTTTTTCCCCACCAAAATGCCGGCACAGAGTTGGCGGAAAATGTGAAAATTCGAAAATGATATCCAAAAGCGCGTACGTTCAGCTTAGAGTTTGCGGGCTTAATACATAATTTACGAGTGGGAATCTTTAATTAAAATCGAATAATAACCGGCTAGCAGCCAGCAGGATATCTGCTATCAGGACACGCCCATGCAGGGGGAGGAAAAAAGGAAAATCTATGGGGGATAAACGGGAGGATATTATTGCATATATTACGGTATATTGGGCTCCCTGCACATCATCCTTTGGCAGAAATTTATTTATCCAAAAGCATCGACAGCATCGACAGGAAAATAGAAACCAATTTAGCGAAAATTGTGGAGAAAAAATCATATGCAGTTCAAGTTATTTTGCGATATTTCGCTCTGCATTTTGCAGCTGATGACTTCGCACACTTGTTTGCCCAGGATACCCGCCATAAAGGATGTGCTTAAGTGCATCTTGCACTTTGACTTGCCAATTGCCTGTCTGCCAGCTCCGGCTCTGTCTCTCCCTTAGCTAGCAGTTACCCAGCTTCCCAGTTACCAGCTTTTGAGTTACCAGCTTTCCAACTACCAGTTTTTAGCTCCCTGATTCCCAACTCTTGGCATCTGCTCAGCAGTTGACTAATAGCTTGATAAACTGCATGCCACGCTCTCATAATGAGAGCCACCCAGCTGCAGACCCCAATCCTGTTTCCCTGCTCACTTATTTGTCTGTTTAAAACGATATTAAAGCATCACGAGAGGAGCGTAAATTTAGGGCCCCACGCTCAGACTAGCAGGGACAAAGGATATTCCGCTTTACAGATGATAGAATATAGGATTTTTATGCATGGAAAGGCTAAACAGTTTTCCCTACCTAGATAACTATTAAGAATATTATAAATAATGATAAAGAGATGATTTCTTAAAGCCAAATTGTTAAACTTACCGCAGAGCCTATTCCTCATGCTAATCATTATTTGCGAGATCTTAAAGTTAATCACTGTGGACATCATATTCCTGACTTGTTTTTAAACATCAGCAGGAAACTTATGCAGCAGTTGATTACAGAAGCTAAAAGACTCCTGTTCCTTTTAGCCTCGATCAAATCCAATTGCTTCTGAATCACTTCCACACTGTGCTTGGTTTATCTAAGGAAGAAGTATTATTAAAATAAGTCTAGGATAGAAGGATATTTATGTATGTTTTCATATTATGAAGTATATTCATATTCCTCTCTCCAACTGCTAAATGGGTTCCTTGCAGATTAGAAAGCTCTCTGGTTCCCAAGTATTCCATTCATCGTCTCTGGAAAGAAGTGTCCATTAGCTTTTGGCTTTCCAAAACCTTCTCAATTTATCTGCATTCAAATTTTTGCTCTCATCATATATTTCAAATGCCCGCTGCTGTTGTTTATGTTTATCAAAATGAATGCTCAAGTTTACACTGTCAAGAAGAAGAACTCAGAGTTGAATTGAGAAGTTATCGACTTAATCACTCCATCATATGTGGATGGGGAACAAAATGGGAAGTTTTGGAACAGTAAAACTTTACAGAACATTTGTGAAAAGGATGGCAGATGGCAAATTGATCTTCGTAAGAAGAGGTTATAGAAGTAAGTTAAAAGCACTCTCTCGTTATTGTTTTTCTGTAAAGTCTTTTCGAGAAACTCTTTTATTGAATGTATAAGGCTTATTTTGACCTTTTTTTTAAATGCCGCTACCAATTGCTGGCAATTGCTGTTTTTATAGAAAAATCACTGTTCCTGTTTTAATATTTGAAATCTTAAGTAAACAAAGCAAGTTCTTCTATCAAGTCCGACATAATTTGCAAAAGAAAACTAAAAGACTTTACTTATGGGTTTATTGATATTGCTTCTAACTTTATAATTAATATAAAACCAAGTTGGCTGATTGAGCAATATAGTAATAACAACAAAAAAGGAAGCTAAATTCGGGAAACCAATATTTCTGTACCCTTGCAGAGAAAATCCATCATATCTCAAAAATGAACCAATTTCCAATCGGAAAGCTGTCCCAAGTTAGTTTTCATTAGGTTAATAAATCGGTATACTCAGTTAAAAATGTAGAAAAATTAATTTTTTTTTTAATTTTCGCGATGTAACCCCATCTAAAATTTGGGAAAAAATTTGTAAAAAAAAAGTTTACCGTCTGAGATGGCTAGATCGATTCGGCTGTTGATGCTGATCAAGAATATATATAAATTATAGGGTCGGAAATCATTCATACACTACATTTCCTGCTTCTGACTGAAATTATAATACCCTTCAACGGAATAAACATTTCAATAACAAATGAATTCTAAAATAATCAGGAAGATCAAAATATGAATTCGTTTCATTTCGAAAACTTGCCAAAGCAAGCCTGTCTTACTTTTATTTATAAATATTAAATATTTTAATAATAAAAGTAATTAAAATAGTATGGTAACAATTAAAATTCACCATCAACTATACAGAGAGAAAATGCATTAAAAACATCCATACACACATGTCTGGGATACATTATGCACACTACACATCATGCTGAAAAGTGTGAATATCATTAATTTACACAAAAGCCCGATATATAATCTGTTTTGAACGTTTGCCAACACTTTTCTTGTCAAATTCTCTTCTAGTCACCGAGCCACGTGCTTTAGGCTTAAGAAAACTTTTATCATTTTTTTTTTGTCTGTTTAGTAAATATATAGCTTAAAAATGAAATTACCGTGTGTTCTATGCGGCTGCCATAAAGACAATGAGCTGATCTTTGGCGAGTTTGTAATGCATGATAAGAATTCATTGCACCGCAACTGCCTGGTAAGTTCACCTCAATGGAATAGAAAGGTTACTTCACCTGTGCATATTTAATATGGCGAACAGGTCCTATGTCTGGGCAAATTCGTACAGAATAAAACCGACGATATCCGCCTCTGGAACTTTCTCAAGGATGACATATCGGAGGTGAAGGAAGTCTTTAGCTTGACCAAATGCTCGTATTGTCCTCGCCTGGGTGCGAATCTTTCATGCTGCCACGAAGGATGCCATCGTAGCTTCCATACCAAGTGCGGTGTGGACAATATGGCTGTCCTCCAATATGGCGGCAAATTTGATACTTTCTGTGCAGAGCATGTGCCCGAGCATCGCAGTCGCCCGGAACCAGACGCAAATTGTATATTATGTCTAGGTTCGGTAGTGGCCAATGGGCAAGATTTTACCCCGGCTTTGGCATTCCAGGCACCATGTTGCCACAATGGATGGTTTCATCGCGAATGCGTCCAGGATCTGTCCAATGCATCGACCATTTCTTTCAAGTGTCCTCTTTGCAGGAATGAAAATGAATTCGGTGAAGTTGCCATGTACGGAGTTGCCATTCCCAAGTGGTGAGTTTAGAGTAGAGAAAGAAGTAAATTGTTTCTTTGGAAAGTGTTGTAATCATATTATTTACCACAGGCGTTACGGTTTACCAAAACCACCGACAAGCATTCCTGTGGCCCCCGGCCGGGCCCATACTGGCCTCTTCAGAATTCGTGAAGTGCGCGTCCTCATCGCCAGACTTCACCATTCCTAAATTCAAGATACAAATATATATAGCAGTCCCAGAAGATTGAATCCCAACAGAACTTGAGAAACATAAATCCCAGTACGAGCATTCATACCCGAATATATAGTATGTAATGTTACTTGTTTTTTGCTAGATAATTTTCTTTATTTTTTTAATAAAGAAAGTAATAGACTGCATAATTTTATTGGGTATTTAAATGCAAGAGTATTAAGTTGTTTTCAACGCGTTAAGGCCTTCATAAAACTATAACAAAAGTTATGTTCCTTTGCCTTTATCTGGTTTTATTGTTCTTTCTAACATCGTGTGAAAGCTTTAATACTATTACATGTAGTATAAAATCTTAAAATATATGTGTATGTAATCTTCAAAATAGTTATGCAAAAGATCTTATATTTGATGTGTTTGAACCTGATCTGTAGTAGGGAAAACAATTCTATCTTATTTCACATGAAACTCAATACTTAATAGTTTTTGTGGTGTACTAAGTTGTATATTCTGTACTTCCCTATAATCAAGATATTGATTATAGATATATTCTGTACTTCCCTATAATCAAGATCCTTTTCCACCAGGATGTTTTTTCCGCATCTTACTTTCTCCAGTTCGCTTAACAATCTGCTATGAATATATATATTAATTGAGCTAAAAAAACGAATAATACATTTTGAAACATAACTGGAAAATGCCAAATCATTAAATCAGATTACAGCTTTTAATCACAGTCCAAAATCTTGCAAGCTTTATTGCTATTTGTATTTCATTTTCTTTAACAAATATGAATATATTTAAAAAGGTAGAAAGACTGTTAGCTTGCAATATGATTGCCTAGTTTTTGGGGCATGTTCAAGGAATCGGTTCGTGCAACCACCTTATCCGATCGATTTGATATGTGAAATGACAAGAGGCAGCTTCCTTTCGTGCTTCCTTCAGCTCAGTGGAGAGTTGCCAGGGAATGTGTTAACGCATTTTGCCACGCCCATTTGCCCACATAAACCCCAACGTTCAATTGCTCGTTTGGCAAAAAAAAAAAGAAAGAAAGAAGGAAAGAATTCCTTGCCGCCGCCCTTGTTGCTTTTTCAACTTTTGTTCTTTTGTCGCGGCCAAGGGCGACGTGGAGCACACATCCTGCTGTGTGTTTGAGGGGGAATATGGAACAGAAGGCACAGGAGCATGGGAGCACGGGAGCAACACGGCGGCAGACAACAGACAGTAGACGGCAGACGACAGATATGTATGATGAAATACAAATTAAATTTCCCTGGCACAAGCACATTGCACGGAAAAAATCAGATATGAAATGTAAAACTGAGGCAAGCAGGATACGATGCGAGTCTGGTGGGGATTCTGCACCCCCTCCCCCCCCCCCCAAAAAAAAAGAAGGGATGAAAAGCTTCCAAAGGGAGGGAGGAGGAGAGCACTTCATCAGTAGGTTTTTCCGCCTACTTTCAGCGAGGACTCAAAATTCGAAACGCGCGGCAATTGAAGTCAGAATTTAAATGGGATTCCCCCTTCACTCATCAGCACTTGTCTTGCATCCTACCGAGCCCCTCTTCATATCCCCCCCCCCCCCCTCTATCATTGTGAAAATGCGTAAAAAGGCGTATAATTTGCATGAGATTTGATTTCACACCGTAGAAACTTGCTACACAGCAGCCATGGAGGAGAATTTGAAGGAGCCAAGCCACTGAAAACTGAAGTTATGGTTATATATGTATTTTACAAACTTATGTGGATACAAGTGTAGGCTGGAGTGGAGTTTGGTAGCAAGCAATCCTTTTGGGGAAACCCAAAAAAGAAAAAGTTTCAACCCATATATCTTGCACAAAATCCATTTCAACGTGAAAACCATTCAGGGATTCAAATACCATTTCCAGAGACAAGTGTGATTCCTCCAAGGACAAGAGGGAGAGAGAGCTCCTTTAGTCCATAGAAGAAAATAATGTTAAATTAAAGTAAGTATAGGCATTAATTTTGTGTTGTAAAACATTTAAGAAAAGGTCACTTGTAATATTTTCTATAGATAGCATAATAATAATTGATTTTTATTTGAAGTCCCGGACTCTCAGGATCATGGATAAAAGCTTTTAGTATATATTACCAAAAGTCATTTAACCCAAGTCATAATGCATATATTTCGATCCTGCATTACCATTATATCCCGAATCCCTCGGAACCATTTCAAGTTATGACTAAAGTCAAAGTCAAAGCCAGGCAATTGTTGGATTGAAGGCGGTTGTATCCTCTGAGCAACTCGATGCCATTTCGACCTGATTGCAATTGGCAGTGTTGGCTAATGCCCGGCTTCATGCTGGTATATACCGCGTTCCCGCTTGTCCTTGCCGCATGTCCTTGCCACACAACAGCCGAAGCGTGCCCAGCTCTCAACAGAGAGAACACTGCTTGCAATTGACAGTTTCGAATACAGATTTAAACGCAGATACAGATTGCGGACTCAGGTTCAGATACAGATACAGATACAGATACGGGGAGATATATATACCAATGGCAAACGCACATATTGGCTGCATTGTTGAGTACATATAAAAACAATAAGCCATTCGGAAATGGAAGCAAGACAGGTTGGGAAGGCAGTTCCAATGTGCCGAAATACAAATAATATATGTAGAAACAGAAACAATTGGCACACAAACTCGAATGTGTTAATACCTTAGGCTGAGATTTCAAACATGACTTGGAGTTTGGAGTTCTTTTGAGATGCCTTAGGACTTTGTTTACAAGGCTAGGATAAGGTCTTGAATGCTGCTTTGCTTCCTTGATTTAACCTAGTTAACCAAAATAAATTTCAAAGGACTTTTATAAGCCTGAGTCTATCTATGGAGTATCTGAAAAAGTCCTCTATAAGTGTCCTTGGAATGGTATATACCCCTGTTAATGGCTGGGTATAAAAAACAAAACCAAAGAAGCGACAAAAAGGGAATACAAAAATACGTACAACAATAAATATTAATAAATTTCACATGATCATAAAAATAAATTTGTGAATCCAACACGCACACACACACACACACTCCTTACACACACACTTGCTGTGAGAGATAAGGGGGCCCAGTCAATACACACAAACATATTACATTATAAGGCTTAGCCATAACAAGGCAATCACATTATTAGGCACCACCCACCGCCCATCGACCGACAGTGGGGTGTGGCTGCCTGTCAGGTGCTGGTGCTGATGCTGATGCTGATGCCACACACTCAAGGACGACGCATCGTTGTAACGGTAATATAAACATATGCAATAAGGTTATCTTATTACCCTGCGAGCGATGATAAAGAAACGGTGGAGGGGACATTGGTGGCAAGGCAAATGACAGCACACATACGCACACGGGGCACTCCACTCCACTGCGAAATCGAAGCAAATAATTTCACACCCCAAATCTCCAGACCATAACATCTTATGGCCTACCATCCCGGATCATCTTGAGCTCACATGCCTTGGGGGCGTCCTCCTTCGACCCAAAAGAGAGATCCCACAGCCTAAACAAGATCGCTGCAAATATATATGTATTTAGTATAGTATAGACTGGCCACTTCCGACCCACCTTTGCCAGGTGAATTGTCAGCTCTTAAGTATCTCTGATTGTGACACAAACACACACAAACACACACACACACACAAGTGCTCCGTCAGCCCTAATGGCATCTCCTTTAGGCTAGTTAATCCCACCTTTCGTGTGTTCCGGTGCCTGCTCCATTTCCATCTCTCCATCTGCACACATTCCAGGGGATAGAAAAAAAACCCCCAAACACAAAATTGAAAGAGCTATGGGTGCAATGGTAGACGGCAAAGAGCAAAACCCCAAAACGAAAAGCAAGGCAAACAAGAGGCAGCAACCAAAAATAAATTTTAGGCTAAATTTCTGGTTAACGAAATTGGGAATACCCTTGCGAAGGAGCAGGTTTTAAGTAAATTAATGAATTAATGTTACAAGTTCTAGAATAAAAGCAAATAAAATTTATAGAATATAAGATGTATAAAGCCAGGAAGCTCAAGATCTTTTGAAATTTTGTTAAGGAAGCAGATAGAGAGGGAGAACGCTAAAAGCCTGTATGTGTTCATTCTAGATTTCCTCATCTTCATATTTTTTAGTGTATTATGCATATTTTTAGGTTTATTCAAGATAATGCTTAAATTTGGCTACTTAACAATGTGTGCGTTACGCATCTTACTCTCTCCTTTGATTGTCTTTGCCTTTCTCAGCGTTTTAATCCTAATCTTTGGAACTTATTCATTTAATCTAAACTATATATAATCCTATGAACTATAGTCTTGTATAAACTCTATATATTTTTTAATAATACCCTATAGCAAAAGGGTATATAAAATAGAAGAGGAAAATGAAGAAAATGTGGCGACCAAAAAATGGACCAAAATCGATAAGAATGTAATTTGCCATAATTCACAGAAATTTGCTCGGCATATTGGCTTTTTCTCTTTTTTCTTATTTTTTTTTTCTCCCCCCTCATGTGTGTGTGTGTGTGTGTGTGTGTGTGGTGTGTATTTTTGTGTCCTAACAACATCAACAAACACAAACAACAAACAAGGGAGAAAGAGTGGGAGCATTGCTTGTGAACGAAGATGAAAATTATTAATGGCTAGGCTATTGGCATTAAAATTACACCTTCTGCCCCAAAAAAAAAAAAAAAAAAAGAAATACACACGCGCAGCCACACACGCAAACACACAGATATCCATCTGCCCCCGTCCTTGTCACAGGATACACTCCCCTCTCTCTCTCTCTCTTGTATGCATTAAATTGACATTCATATTACTTATTTATGCATGGGAAATTAATTTTGATATGTTGATTTCTCGCATGAGCAAATCCAACAAGCCGCACCCACAGTCACCCACATATTGGACCAAATGCAGGTGACATATACACACACACACACACACACACAGGGACACCAGCTGTCCACCTGTCCAGCGATATATCCTGGCATTTGCTATATAGGGTCCTTCATGTGACTGTGCGTTTGTGAATAATGCATTGATTTAAGCTGAATGCTACTCTAGATCTTTGTCGAAAGCCTAGGTAAAGCAATTTTTTACTGAGAATATGATTAATAATTAATGGGATAAATATAATAATTAATATA